TACGTACACGAACGTAACTAACAACCACCACAACCAACCACCCCAACCCCCAACCCCCCACCCCCACCCTACCTCCTCCTACCCTACCTCCTCCTACCCTCCTCTCTCTCTCTCTCTCTCTCTCTCTCTCTCTCTCCATGCACATGCATTTACAGAACAGAGCCATTTGTGTTCACTGCAAATGAATTCATCTCCATAAAGCCCCTCACTCTCTCCCTCTCTCTCATGAATGTTGCATACGGGCTTCACTACCAAGCAACAAACCCATCCACATACTGTCACTCAAACCTAAAAGTCCAAACATAAGCAAATAGCATGTATTACACTTACTTTGAACATATTGCTCCTGCTTCGACTCATCCAGCTGCCTCAAAATTACCTCCAGCCGATGTAATCGCTCCTTCAAATTTTGGAGAGAAGCCTCTTGCGGACCTCTCTCATCCCCACAATTGGGGTCTCCAGAACCTGACAAATTGTTGTTCTTTCCAAGGGATTGAGGAACCGATGGCCCTGCTGAACTGTAAGTCACAAGAGAAGATGTTGGTAGCGGGGCCAAAGCTGCAAAACACGAGATTTTAGGGCTTAAAGTAGGGTTCTTTTTACACCCCCAGTCACTTGGCATCTCAGGCTTCAAAACTGACCCTGTTAGCTGAAAGGAGTCCATTTTCTCTAAGCTACAACTAATAGCACACGATGGTGGCTTCATTCGTTCTGGCTCAGCTGTACTAGTAGTACATGATGGTGGCTTCATTGTTTCTTGCTCAGCTGTACTAGTAGTACATGATGGCAGCTTCATTGGTTCTTGCTCAGCTCTACTAATAGTACATGATGGTGTATTCCTAGGTTCTTGCTCAGCTCTACTAGTAGTACATAATGGTGGCTTCATTGGTTCTTGCTCAGCTCTACTACTAGCACATGATGGTGGATTTAATTGTTCTTGCTTAGCTCTACTAGGAGTGCATGATGGTGTCTCCATTGGTTCTTGCTCAGCTTTGCTAATAGTACATGATGGTGGCCTTATTGGTTCTTGCTCAACTCTTCTACGAACATAAACTAAATGTCCATTGGTGCAGTTGCTACAGAGAGCAGAAATCGAACAATTAGGATTTAAGCAGTTGGGTCTCTGTCTCTTGGCACCTGAGGCCTTTGCTATATCTATTGGCTCTCTGGCTTTTGGCAACGGAGGGATCCCTGAGGGTTCAGGGCCATTGGTGCTCTTTGCATCATTCTGCATATCCCTCAATGACCCCTTCTTTGTAGGGGTTGAGTGCTGCCTATCAGTGGTTGTATTAGTGGCCATTCCATACTCACTGAACTTTGCATCAATCATTTGTTGGACCATTGGGAAGCATGTGCTTTAACTGTTAGAGATTCTCTGCAGAGAATAAGTTGTTCTTTCAGATGGAGTGCATATTTATAAGAAATTTTGCAGTTAAGATAATGATGAATGCCTGGTTTTGGAGAGAGAAAAAGTTGCAGAAAAATCAGCCCTCCTAGAGAATCTTTCCTTTTTTTTTTTTAAGGTTCCTAGAAAGAGAAACTTTGGCAAAGAGAAGATGTAAACTCATACTAATTGTGTTCGATGGACAATATAAACACTACTTAGTGAAGAAGCAACAGAAGTCCCCACTGAAAAGAAAAGAAGCAACAGAAGTGAATATTGGATTTAGTTCTATTTTGACATCTCAACAAAGTCCATAATCAGAATCCATTGCAAAGAAAAAGATGGTTCAACCATTTCTTGTCCTTTTTTGTACACCCTTGGGGTCACCACACCTCCTGTAACTTCGGTCTTTTTGGCCAATGAAATACAGTTAACTTTACTCAAAAAAAAATAAAAAATGGAGGCAATCTGGTTTCCATGGGAGCTTTTCAATTATTGCTTGTAAGCAAAGAAACAAGCATGTCAATTACACAGGTAACTTCCTGGTTCACAACCTAAATCTCTAGAACAAACAATTTTTTATGAGGAAAAGTGAACTGTCTCTAGAACAAATAATTACCAGCACAAAAGAAAAAGAAACCAATAACTGAAGTAGAAGATAGCCCAGTGTTTCATCTAATGTGTAGCTCTGACATTCTTCTTATCTATTTGTACACACCTCGTTAATGTGTTTCTGGTAAACAGTAGTTTGCTCATTACTTTCTTAATCTCTTTAAGGCAAAATTTCACCAACAAATACATACAAACCAGTGATTTAGAAAACGAATCAGTGACTAGGATTGCGCATTGTAAAAACCGGTCAGGATCACCGTTTTACTGATAGTGAACAGGCAAAAAAACACGTGCAAAACAGTGAACCAGCCAAGAACTAGTCTGAATTGGTGAATCGGCGTTTTTTCTGTAGCAAAACGGCTTTTTTTTTTTTTTTTTTAAGTTTGTAGCAAAACTGCGTTTTTACTGTAGCAAATCGCCGGCTCTCTTCTAGACTTGGGCGATTTCCTATATATTCACAAAACCGGCATAGGGTGACCGATTCCCAAGTCGGACCGAGTAATTCCGAGTCGACCCGACGTTTTTTAAATCACTGGTACAAACAAACAAATACGTACATGATGCAGCCTAGGAAAAAAACGTATTCTGAGGAAGGTCAAGAGGGAACAACAAATAATCACCACTCCATTTTACCTATTTCTGTTCCTGTACAAATTGGTTAGTTGAACACTTGAGAGTTGAAGTCACCCAAGTTACAAACTATCATCTTCCTGGCAAGGCTCTCACACTGGATTCAGTTCCCAAGTACTTTAGCACTCGTGGTGCTGAGAAGTAAGTTAGGCACATCTTAAAAAAACAGATTAGGTTTCTCCCCTACTCAGAAAACCATTCTAGCAATTTTAATGCTACTGCAATGAAGTGTTGGTCTCATGCAAGGGTTGCAATTTGTTCCCCCCAAGCTCCTAACTAACACGGAAGCTTGTGAGTAGTGGCATCATATCAGCCAAGAGTTGTGTATGCATTGATAAGAGATAAATCACCAATCAATAAGACCATGAACAGTATCTGAGCTGGACCAGCTCAGCCACGAGCGTCCTGATACACCTGGGTTTCCCACAAAATTGATAAGTTGCATTTTGCAGAAAGAGAACCAATGCTAGCTGTAGAAAGAGAATATGGAACTTAAGACCACATCTTTATTAAATTCCCATTTACCAACTACATCTGGTTATAACTTCTAGTCCAAGTCAAGATTCCCCACCCCCTATCTTGCTGATAAATCAGCTCATCTAAAATCTTCAAAAGCGAACAACTCCAAGCCATTTGGGGAAGTATGTTGCCTACTAATTTGGACAATTTAGAAGTAGCACAATCAAAGAGCTCTTGAAGCAAATACAGCCCGTCAAACCCCTTGAGGTAAATGCTAGATAGAGGCACGGATACAGAAAAAGATACAAAAGAGTGCGATACGACTCAGCATTTCTAGCAATTCAGGATATGGATTCGGATACAAGAATCCCATCTTCAAGGCATCTATAAACAACTATTTCATTCTATAACCATATACCTTTAAGTATATATCTAGAAGTATCCAATCAGTATACCTTATCAGTATCGTTGTCGACATGGTACAACCCTACCCTAGCACATTAAGCATCTACAGGTATCTATGCATCATTACCCTTGAGAGCTCACTTGGTGAATGACCCAATGAACCCTTAACTCCCTCTCCTATGATCGTAGTTACGTCTACGAGAGATATATTCTCTATCAATGGCACATTAGTACAACATCTGTCATCATGATCATCATCATCTGAGCCTTATCCCAACTATTTGGGCCAACTACTTGAATCATGTTCTGTCATTCTACTCTATTAAGGGTCATACTCTTAGTCAGACCATAGGTTTACTATATCTTCTCTCACTACTTCCATCCATGTCATTTTAGGTCTTCCCCTTGCTCTTTTAAAGCCTTCCACTTGAACCAAATCACCCTTCCTAACTGGTATTGTTCTAAGACAACGCTGCACATAACCAGACTACCTAAGTCTACTTTCTCTCATATTTTCGCCTATTGGAGCCACTCCTAAGTTTCCTCTGATGTATATCTTCCGAATTCTATCATTCTTTGTCTTGCCACTCATCCATCTCAACATCATCAACTCAGCTACACTCATTCTATGAATATGTTTCTTCTTGACTGCCCAACATTCCGTCCTATAAAGCTTGGCTCGTCTTACTTCCCCTTCAGTTTCATTAGTTTGCGACAATCACATAAGACTCCGAAAGCACATTTCCACTTCATACTAAAGTTTGGAGGGCCGCCTTACTTTGATTGTTTAAGGCTGACATCTTATACATACTGCAACTTATATATGAAACATGTAAATAGGGAGTTCTATGAACTCGACAACTAGTTTTAAGGAACTGAACAAGGTCTCTTTGGCCACTCAGATAAAGTTTACAACTTCAAGCACCTGACTAATATGCCCTGGTGATAAGATTAGTGCATGTCAAGAAGGCTGTTACATAATATGAAGGGAAAGGTCAATATGAAGGGAGCTTGAGGTGCAAAAGTATAATGACGCAAACTATCATCCAAATCATAATAAATTTCTCAAAGCAATTTTTGAAAGAACAATAAACCTAGATTTAGCAAGAATTTTGTACCCAAAGTCAATTTGCCTCCAGAAGATTATGGGTTGAACCCAAATTACACTAAAAAATTCCCCCAATACAATATGCTTCATTTGCTTTGGATTATAAACAATCTGAATAGCACATAAACAATGGCCAACATGAACGAAGATTCATATCTACAGAAAAGCGTGAATCCAAACAATTACAATCAATGTTATCAGGATCGGATAGGTGCTCGAACTGGCAAAGGGACTGACCCACTTAAAACCAGTCTGACTATATATATATATATATATATATATATATAT